CTCTCTCTCTCTCTCTCCCTCTCGCTCTCTATCTCTCTCTCTCTGTCTTTGTGAGAGAGAGGGGAAATAAGACTTGGTTCTAATGCACAAACACCGCTTCCTTTACCCACGTGTCTCATGAAAACTGTGATTTTAACGGGTCCTCGCTCAGAATTTCATCCTTATAATTTGTGTAAATTGCTATGTAGAAGATTTTTTGGGGGGTTATGGGTGGAAAAAAAAGCACTGGTGACATGGTTAGTGTTGAAGATTTTATTCTCGATGCTTAAAATGTGAGAAATTCTTTTAATTTTTTTATTGGGAAATGCAGATTTGTGGTCAAGGCTTATTAATGGATGTTTTGATCATAGAAAAAAGCACACAGGTCCACAACTGTGACCTCTGTCTGATACAAGTGCAGCCTATACTGTATAAGAGGGCAATATAGAAATGAAAGTGTTGTGCATTCTGTTAAAAAATAGTCTCATATTTCTTTGACCTGGGCTACATTACACATAAATGTCAAATTCTCTCTTAAATTTTAATAGAGAAGGATGTTTTTGTGCTTTTTATAGTAGAAGCTAAATGCTGCTAATTTATCCTACAATCTAGAGTCACAATAAAATACATATATGGGATAAGGAGTAATGTATTTCCCTATTAAAAAAGTAGTTTGAAAACCACATTTAGCCTCATGGAAATATAAATTAAAATCCTCCTCACATTATTGACTTGATATCATTTTCTTTTAGTCCAGGTTCATCAAGAAAAAATGAAGCCTTATGTAGAAAAGCGGCTTTTAATTATAGGCTTGTGAATCTGGGTGTGTGCAGATTAAGTTGTGACACAGAGGGAACAGGCAGAGTCACAGTGTGTCGGAGTGTGTGTTTACATGAACCTACCTGCTCAAGTGAGTTGTGCACAAACATTGTGCTCACAAGCTCAGCTGCACAACAGTTTTCCCCTAAGGTTCTCCAGCACAGGCTTGCATCTCTCCTAATGAGTCATTAAAAATGTAACGCTGCATGAAGAATTGGACCGGTTCATGTGAAATCCTTGAAGCGTTCACGTCGATTTGACATTTGTCTCCAACGTCACTTTCTAATCAATCGGAGCCGGTGTCGAAAAAACCGTGATGTTTTTGAGATTATTACCAGCTGTACAACAGATTCTCTATCATTCGCTGTCACCACACAGACGCAGAGAAAAAATAATAAGGTCACACAGAAGCACAGGCTCTCAGGTTTTTTAGATGCATGTCTGCAGGATGCTCAGTGTGTCACGGTGTCCTCGCACAGTTCCTGTCTATCTCCCACTGCTGTTTACCTTCAGTTATACTGTACGCCTGAGCTCGGCGGGCGAGGTGAGAACTGCACAGCTGCCAATTTTGTACCATATGGCCGCGCTCCAAAACTCCAGTAAATGTTTATGAAAGCTCATTTGTTTTCAGCACAGGAGTAAAAATCTCACATAATCTCTTTTGAATGTGTCTGCGGAGAAGGCGCTTTTATAGTTTCATGATAATCATGCAATGTAAATTACATGCATCCTTGAGTGACCCTGTTTTCAGGTTTCACTATTTCTGTCTGTCTTTATTTCCAGTCAGATTCACAGGCTTAAAAAGAGAGAGAGAAAAACATTTTAAGTGGCTCCCACTGCCTGCAGGATTGAATCTGACAGTGCATTTTTTTGCCAGTGTGCAGCTGATGTGTTAGTTCACAGTATATCAAAATGTTTACAAGGGTCGAGCAGAGACTCGGCCACAGAAGAGGCCTTTGGGGATTTACTATTTCCTCCCTTTTTCCCTCTCTCATTTGCCCTCTCACCACACTGCAGACTGACACTGTCTTGTACACTATTCATCGTTGCATTTTTATCTTCGCTTCTGTACTGATCGAAAAGAATGGTGTCACATTGGTCTTCCCCGCACGGCCCTGTTTCACTCACAAAGGCCTCTAACAGTCATATCTCCGCCTGCTGTCGCTGCTTAGAGGAGCTTTGACCCTGCGCTGGCACCGCGCTCTTTACGGGAAGAATGGTGGTCTTTGATAAGGAGGTGATCTACTTCCATTTATTAGGGAAAAAGGAATGTGTATCTTCTTTTTCTCTCACTGTCTCTGTGCGCAAGACTCGAACTTTCACTCTGTAGAACACCACCTTGCCCTTTATCATTAACCTTTAAAGTAAATAATTGGTTTGAAAAGTGTGAACTTCATGAATTATAAACGGTAAAGCTGTCGCATAACTGGCTTAATTCAATTAGTGTGGTTCAATCTGATTTAAATTTTTATCGCATTTCAATATACGAGTAGAATATCGCACTCTGTATATCTAATGATTCCACCTTTC